ATTTCTTTCACCGTCAGCTCGCAGGTTATGCTTTGGCTTCTCGTGATTATTTCAGATCTTGCTGACGTTTCACGGGCGGTGACAAGTATTCGGAGCTGTAACTGTCGTGGCGCATCGCTTACACCCTTTATTTGCTTCTCTTATCCTCCCTCTCGAGAGAAAGAGAGGCCACGAGAAAGAGAAAGAAGTAACATGAATGAATGAGTTTAAGAGAGAAAGATAGAGTGAGAGTGAGTGAAAGAAAGACACCATAAATGAATACAATGGGAGGATAAAAATATTCATACAATAGAAATATGGTAATAAAAAAATATTTATATTATGATTAAGAAGTATTTAACATTATTAATTATATTGATACACGTAATTACATGATACACTAATGTTAGTAATAGCAAGTATAAAAGGACAAAAGTCAACTAAAATACTTGTAAATAATTTATAATATTATTGGATACAATATTTGTACACTATCAGAGATTACTATTATGCATTATTTAATTCTTTGTATTATCTTTTGCTATTTTTTTGATTTAACATGATATTTTCTTATTTATTTTCTTATTTATTTATTTATTATATAGTTTTCATTGCATATATATATTTAAGTTTAAATCTGGTGATTATTTTTGATTTTGGTTCTATTGAAAATAAAATGTATTTTTAATTCAATAAATTTTGCTGGCATTCCTTCATAATATTTAAGTAAAGATTATATTCTGATCCATTTAAAACTTTCAATCAGATGAACACGAAAAGATATGAACATCAGATATTAAAATAAATCCAAGCAACTGGATTCAATTATAAGCGTGAGAAACCAAGGATATGTTGCTTCATTAAGAAATTCAATTGGAAAACTAATATTTAGTTAAATTGGCCAAACAAAGTTGTAATTACGAAAACACATCTTTCTTCAATAAAATGAGGACTAGATTAAATCACTAGATTCAAATCTGATTGAACACATGTACACTTATTCTGGAAGTGAAATATCAGTAGATTTTGTTGAAATTTAACACATTATATACAAGTAAGTTATAAGCTATTCTTTATAAAACATATTAATTATAACATTGACAATAATGATTATATTTATAATAATGACAATATTAATATTTTGTAAATTACAAAAGTTTATCTTATCAATTGACTTTTTGTTTTCTTTTTTTCTACTAACGTCAACGTGTAACGTGTAATAATATGTGTGTCAATGTAATTAATACAGTTTTTATTTTCACATTCCTATCATACGAATATTTTTATTCCCCCACTATAAATGAATGAGAAAACATAGTAGGAGTGGGGACAGGGATAGCATATCAGTGAGCGAACGAACATAGATTAAGCGAATAAGCAAATAAGAGAAAAGAGGACAGAACATTAATAAGTGGAAGAAAGAAAGAATATGAGCGAGCATCTATGATGCGTGTATATATGTCATGAAAGAGACAGAGAAAGAAAATTTGCGCGCGCGTACATAGAATTCTGTCTGTCCTTATCGTTTTCTTTCTTTCTTTCATAGTCCCTATGCACCGCTTTAACGGTTTCTTGTGATTTTTCGATAATGCTATTTCGCTGAAGGTTATGAGCCGTTGGTTGCGTAGATAAGTTTGGGGTGAGTTTATATGTATGCAAAATTTGATGTAGCTTTATTCTGTTTCTAAATGCACGTAAGCTCTCTCTACATATACGTGTGTGTATATGATTTTCATTTAGTTTGTGTCTCTCTTAGGAACGTTTTTTTTTCTTTCTCTCTCCTGTCAGTCCGTACCCACAGACAGTATCGCGCGATGCGGACCTGTTTCCTTTTCGTCGCCGCGAATCCCGTGATTGCCGTGAAGTTGCTGCGTTTAGTCATCGTGTTACCAATTCTCACTTGTTCATTCCTCGTTAAATAGGCTATACATTTATCATTTAGAGAGTCTGTTTAGTTTTATCAATTGTAACATTATCGCAACCAACACCGGACTCGTCCAATTCGACAAGTTTGTCCTCGCGAACTAATTGGATAATGTAATTAACAGAGTCCTCTGCTTTAATGGGTTAAACCACATACGTTATTATTTTTTTGTTGATTTTTACCTACTGTGTTTTTTCAGTAAGTGACTCATAGAAAACAAATGCAATAGAATAGACAATCGAATTTTGTTGTACGCGTTTGTACGAGTTAATATTTAGCGTTAAATTTGCTATCAAGTTTCATATATTTTTGCAGACATTCACAATTGCGATTTTCAATTCGATTTTTATCGTTATTGTATGCTTGTATTGTAAACACCTTAAGATACACTTTGTTATTCCAGTTTTTGCATTTCGTTCTTTGATCAGTTTTTCATGTAATGTATTTTAACGGAATTTCAACGATTTATAATCCATATTAATTACTCTCACTTATTTAATTGTAAATATTTCGTGCAAACTGAATTTAACACAATTTTTTAGAGATTACTTACATGTAGTAAAATTTTGCATTTTATAATATTAATAATTTGCACAGTATTACATGAATATGTCTCGAATTATTTTATACTGTTCTATACAGAGTAATTGCTAGTTGGAAAGTTATAACATTTATATTGTGAAAAGGTATATGATTTGATATGTATGGCGTTTGATTGCAAAATTTAGTATATTTACTATTTTTCTACAATGAAATATCTTATTTTTAATATTTTCATTTTTAGAAAAGTACTTTTCTGCAAATGTAAATTTTATGTACTAGTTTTTTTAATTGTTCTTGTTTAGTAAATCTCACATTAAAAAACTATTGTATATAGCTTTCTGCAGTGTTTTAAATTTTATAAGAAAAATTCATGATTCATTGTTCATATTTATCAATTCAGTTGCTCGTTAAAACATGTATTTAAATGACGATTACTTTGTACGTAAATGAAAGTCTTATCTATTATATATGAACTTTAAGTATAAATAGACATTTATCTGCTGATTTAAAGGTTTAGGTGCAAATAAAAAAATGAAAGTTCAAAATTTAAATTGTTATATATATAATTTTATTATCTATATAATTGGGTATATATTATTTTTTATAGTTGAAGTAATATAGTTTATAAATGTCAATTTCAGAGTTATTTTAATAATTTATTATTTGCAGTAATTGAATGAATATAAAATAATTAGAATTTTATGTTTAAATGTATATTTTACTATATAAATATAGATTGAGATTTTTCATTATTCTTAAATGTATTAAATACATTTCATTGGAAATATTAGTTCATTATAAACTTTATGATAAGAAAATTCATATTTGGTTTTTACAATAATAGAATAATATATTCTAGGTGTATTTACAAATCTTTTAAATTTAGGTGATCATGGCTAATCGGGGTACAGCCCAGAGGCCAAATGGTTCAACACAAGGAAAAATATGTCAATTTAAATTGGTATTGCTTGGAGAATCTGCTGTGGGAAAATCAAGTTTGGTCTTGAGGTTTGTGAAAGGACAGTTCCATGAATATCAAGAAAGCACTATCGGAGGTATAAATTTGGATATTTCTATAAGTATTTACTATTATTAATTATAATATCAATCACAAAAAAAATAGATTATAATTAATAATATTTATAATAATTTTATATTAATAATATAATGAACTAATATTTTATCCATTTTAGCTGCATTTTTAACACAAACTGTGTGCCTGGATGATACGACTGTGAAATTTGAGATTTGGGATACAGCAGGACAAGAACGTTATCATAGTCTTGCACCAATGTATTATCGTGGTGCACAGGCAGCCATTGTTGTATATGATATAACAAACCAGGTGAGTAAAAATCTATCAAATTCAGTATTTAAAAAAATTATAAATATAAGATTAATATGCTATAAGTTATATGCAATATACAAGGTAAATATTTATTTAAGAACATAAGAATCCAAATTACATATTCTGAATTTTGTGTTAATAAGACTACTTGTTTTATGATTTGTCTTATTTTTGATTAATTGTAATAAATATTACTTTTTAACTTATTTATAAAACATAACTTCTTGATTGTGAAATTTTTATTATAAAAACTACAGGACACATTTGTACGTGCCCAAACGTGGGTGAAGGAATTGCAACGACAAGCCAGTCCAAGTATAGTTATAGCATTAGCTGGAAATAAAGCCGACCTTTCAAATAAAAGAGTTGTAGAATTTGACGAAGCTCAAACTTATGCTGACGAAAATGGCCTTCTTTTCATGGAAACTTCAGCCAAAACAGCAATGAATGTTAATGATATATTTTTGGCAATTGGTAAGGTTGTTTTGTTAAACAAATAATTTTATTATATTTATCTAAGCTATATAAAGGAAGCATCTGGATTTGAAATAATACCATTTATTGAATTACATACAGTGTGTATGTACTTTCGTAACATAAAATGTATATTAACTTACAAAGAGTTCTTTTTTGCAATGTTTTATTAGTTTTCTTTTACATGGAGTATTCTAATTTGTTTTAGCTAAATAAAGTTTTATTTATTATATTACAGCCAAAAAACTTCCAAAGAATGAACAATCAGGAAGTGCAAGTACAAGTGGTCAAGGTCGCCGATTAGTTGAGACAGAAGGGCAAAAGGCAGCAACTGGCAATTGTTGCAAGTGATTATCCAAATCTGTACGTGTCAAATATATGTTGGTATATATTTTTATATTAGTTACAATTTGACACCTTCGCGATAAACGAACTTCACCATAAATGGTGAAAGATATAATATCCATGAAAAGATCATAAAACAATTAATATATGCATTAGATATGAGCCCAGCATTTGATATAATAATATAATACTATATAATACATATTTTTATAATATTCAAATATGTAATAGACACTACTGATCATCTTGAATGATAATATAATTTGATAGGTTAAAATTTACAATGGGCACTGTATACGAAATTTTGTATTAATATTGTGGAATATTCTTAAGTAGATATTGCTATAGCATATTTCTTATGTTTAATATTTTCATTGCATGTATTTTTGACTTATTTCATTCTTAATATTTATTAAAGAAGTAAAGAAGACACATGAACATGAAAATTGATTTAATATTTCTTTGAATTATTGTTGAATGCATCAATATAATTGACGATACAAAGGGCAGAGGCTTAAATAACTCAACATTTTACAATAAAAGAATGTTTTTGTATTGAATTTTTAGATAGATATAATAAATTCTATGTTTTCATTGGAATATAATTTTTTAGTAGTTACTAAAAGATTACAAAAACTGAGGTTTTTTTTTAACTTACATCAACATTTTTGTCTATTATAAATTTAAGCACAATCTTAAGACATTACATTAAAAATATTTTGGCATTTATGAATTATACTTTTAGAACAAAGATTATATTTATATAAGAATATTTCTATATAATTGTTTTGTATTATACATAGCTTTGCAGATCAACTATTGCAGCAAATAATAATGTAAAGTTTCGCATTTTTTACTTATATATCTTTAATGAACCTATTGCTATATTTTATCATTTATGGTGTTGCAAAACATGGGTATTATGTATTGCACTTAGTTGAAAATAATACATAATTAAAATTCTATATCAGAATTAAAGAATTTCTCTTTTTTATATGTTATATGTTAAATTTTACAAGATTCTATCATAAAGTATGTAGTTATAAATATATATTATGAAGTATATACTTTATAATACATAATATAGTTATATTATCTATCATAAAGTATAAAGTTACATATTGTATGCTTAAAAATGTTATATATTTCATTTATCTTTTGTATTTATTATTTGAGTAAAATACGAATAACATACTTTAAATATTAATTATATCGTTAAATGTTAGATACAAGAGAGTAAAAATATCCTTGTAATATATTTACGATCTTGTTGTAGATTTGTTACTGTAAATCATAAAATGATATTAAAGAAAATGTTAATTTCTTATTCAAAAGTTGAGTTTATTAATTTAATCAATACAACTGTACTTTGAAAAATACCTTTATTTAAATACCATATAATATAACGCAAAAACTCGGTAAATTTTTTTCAGTTTTATCAAAATTATTATAATGTACAATATAAATCAGTGTTTACTCTATTTCTTCAGTTTTTTCACTTTTTCATCATAATTATATTTTAATAATATTTAATTATATGAATTATATTAAATAATTAATTTAATAATTTTATAATTAATATATTTTTATAACATGGTTAATAATTAAATAAGATAAAAAGATAATAATTAGAGAACATAAAGTAATTTATTTGTTATATTTGTTTTACACATATTTTAAATACGTTATAAATATGTATATTAACTGAAGTGAAATTATTACAATAACAGCGTTAATTATAATTAAAGTATTATTTTTATAAGTATTTTTTATATATTTTATAAATTGTTTTATTTTTGTTCCAAATGTGTAGATCATAGAAAATTTTGGAAAATTGTAGTAGTACTTTATTATTATAACTATATTTGAAATTGAATTAATTCATAATGTTTTTTAATTAGAGTATAATAAAATTAGAGTATAATGTTTGAGTGTGTTTTTTTTTTTTTTTTTT